TTCTCTGCCCCTTTTTTCATTACATTATAAAATACTTTTTATAACACGAATTCCACTTTTTTTTAAATTAATCTAAATTCTATTGAACAATTCCTTATCGTTGATTCTCGTTTTCTTTTCTTGCCGGTTGATATAAAAATTCCTTATCAAGCGACCATTCCCTTTTCCCATCTTACAAAACGAGTGAATTGCTCGGGACCGTCTAGCCGGTTCATCGGGCTTCCAATAAAGAGCGTTCCACGGGACGCGTTAAACGACAGTTAAACGCGTTATCCTTAAGGAGGAGCGTTAGAAGGCATCTCTCCATCGAGTGCGGCAAAAGCGTATATTCCCATAGAACGGGGGCTGCCGCGTCTCACGGTTTTCTACAAAACTGCTTGCCGAGTTTATATCGACGCCGACCGAGTTTATAACGCCTCCCGCGACCAAGGCTAACCGCGTTATGAAGGACGGAAGTACGTAACTGGAAGTTAATCCCTCGGACGAAGGGGGCCAAAGATTGGATTGAACTTGGCCCAGCGATACAGATTTTTTATCGACTTAATGCGATATTATGTTATATACAGAGGAGCTTTTTTAAACGTTTTACTAAGTTTTAATGCGATGCACAACAGGTGAAAATTCCAAACTTAACCGACGACGTCCAAAGTGGAAAATCCGATATGCTTGGGAACGCATTTAGAATTAGCTGTAATCTCGTAGACCAAGCAGAACTCGTCATTGACTATAATTTATAAATTCTTTCTATTCTTTTTGTTCTTTTATAATGTATCGCAGACTCACTATTTCTTAAACATAATATAATTTGTGCAAATATTTAACAGGCGGGAATATTATAATTTTTTTTCATACTAAATCTCATTTAATATAACAAAACGGGCTTCGTTATTAAAATACCTTTTTATAGTATCAGTAAATAACAATTTGTCGTATATGATATTATCAACTCACCCTGTGGACAAAGAAAATCGATGAAAGCTGTCAGCGCAAACGGTGGGTGAACAAATCATAAAAGGGGACACGTGTTTAACGGTTTTTAGGACTGTAAACGAGCGAGTTCGTTGCCCCCTTCGATGGCTCGGCGAATTAAATTGTTTCGTGGAACGAAAATACGATCCATCGTTTCATCGTCGGCGTTGTTTTCGCGCTGCGCGTTCAAAATTCGGACGCTACTACGGCTGTTGCGCGCTCGTGATATTTTTAAAAATATTGAAAATCCGATGATACCAGCTGCTCCGTTCGGTTGGCACTTCGCCACCGTGGAATCAAACATCACCAGAAACAATGGTCGTTCGTTTGGAATACAGTCGTAAATTTTTAATTATAATTACAGATTTATTGATAGCTGGTAGCCTTTATTAAAGATCCGAAAAATGAATTACGAAATCATTTATGCATTTCTATATTAATTATAATACGCATCTTACATTTTGTAATAATTATAATAATATATAATATAAAATTAATAGAAAATTGATTTTTAACGATATTAACTGGTACTTATTTTTATTCTTCTTTGTATTGAAATTTCGACAAAATATGTATTCTATCTGCTTTAGGTACCGAAACGACAAGGAATTAGTGTTGAATAACGACCACTATGAGGGAGGTATTACCGAACAAACAGCACTCACCGTGAAAAATGCGACGCCCAGTGATATGGGCACTTACAAATGCGTGCTAGACAATAACGTTGGCCCATCTACTTCAGAAGACGTCGTTCAAGTTTCCGTTTTATGTAAGTAGTTGGAAATTGCAACAACACTGTAATGGTTTCAATAGAAATTCTTAATAGTCGAAACTATTCCCTATAGTTTCTCATATTAAAATACTATATGATATAAAACCTTATCAGAAAAGAAATCGTTTGTGAATAGGAACGGATATGATCACTTTTTCTAATGACACGTATTAGATTTTTATTAAAGAAAATACTAGACGATGAATTAATTGCTGGAATCACCGGGTCATTAGCTTGCAATCGTCAATTATTTAACGTGCGAGACAAATGAAAACCGAAATCAGTGCGCTATGTAATGAAGCGAGCGGGGTATCTTAATTGGCCAACGATCGAGCAATTACATAGTTCATCGGATCGTCAGATCGGTTCGTTGATTTCAACATTTGGCCGACAATTCCACAATGGCTAATTGCATTAGTAAAAACCAATCGATTTTGTCATCGTTTGGGAACGAGATTCATGAATAGCAAGACTATAACAGTATAATTTTGCAATAATGTTGAGTACTCTGTTAGTTATCGTTGAATCCTTTCTATACAATTTCTTCTCAGTCTGTTATTGAAAAAGATAGTAAGAACTTTTTATACGTCCCGAGTATATCGAATTAGAAAATTGCCCACAGGATTAGCAAATCCTGAGATAATACATTGGCAACAGAATACATGACGCGAACTTCCTTTTTACGGACATAGCTATCGAGGTTTGAACATCATGCATTGAAATAGAACAACGCGGTCGAAGTTTCGAATTCGATCAGCCAGAGTTTCGATAGCTAGTAGAATATCTAAATAGCGGTTTCAACACAAGTTAATCGATGATAAAGTGCCAATCCTCTCTTGTCAGCCTTAATTAAACGACGAATCTTCTATTAATATTTTATTCGAAACTTTTCCTAAATCAAACATCAGTGTTCATTATGAAAAATATAAAATATAAGATTCGTACATTGCAAGCGTACAATAGTTTAATGGAGATTAATTAGCTGTCTGGTTGATATTAGGCATGAAATAATTTGGGAACGAAGGGTTGAAATAATTCAATGTGTGAGAAACCACAGATCATAGTTGTGTTTGACACTTATTGCTTTGCATCTCTGTTACATACGTAGATATGTACATTCGTAGCCACGTACATATGTGGGTGCATAGAGAATTGTGAACTCGGCGGTGAAATATTGAATATAAATCTGTAAGGGAACACCGGAAGTATTGGAAAAGAGCGCGCACCGTCTTGCGTCTTAATCCCACGTGTTTCAAGTTCCTCTATCTTCTTTTAGAGGAAAGAAACGGTAACTCGTGCTGAAGTATCGTTACCCCCTGTGATTCGAACATTGATTATAACTTGTAACGATGTTTTAGAGTATAAGATGTAATTTATTGACGAACACATCGTGAAATTGATTTTCTTTTCAAAGAGAAAAAAATATGAAATATCTATAAAATATTTGCGCAGTAAAACTGCAACATGTTTAATGTCCATTTACTTTGAGTTCTACTTGAAGTGGGTACGCTCTGGCGTTCGCTGAAAATGCATTCACAAAGCGAAGTATCGACGCGGAGGACGCAAAGTGAAATGATTCGTGCTCTATCAGGTGGCATTAAATAGGCTGTTCCTCGCGCGTGGAATCGGTTATTGGGTCAACTGTTCCACAGAACAGACTTAAAGTTAACGTCCCGTTACCGTGAACTCGACCACGAGTACAATGAAATTCTAATTGCAGCCTTAATACCACTCAGGGGTGTTGTGTTATATTTCGCGCGAAACAATTCACCGGAGCGCTGGCCGCGAATTCGAACCGCGGAAAATTAGTTTCGCCCGCACCGCGTGCGTTCCGACCCACGCTGTGTCTCACCATCTTCCCATTTCCTCGTATCCGACCCCCCGCCTCCGAGCTTTCAATGGCCCTATCTCTTTTGTTTTGAACTTGCTGAAATCTTGATTACCTCGGGAAGGGGAGGGAAAAAAAGGAACGCTCCGGCCAATCCGCTGATTGGATCGGGGAAACTTTTCTCCGCCAGGTGCACTGACTTTCCGCGACTCGTTTCACTGTTTATTCTGCGCCGGACGTAACAGTCTGAATAGAAAGTGCAAGACGATTCAGACCGAAATTGATTCTAACTACAACTGCTTTAAGACTTAATTATTTAATCCTATTCGTGATTAAATCCTTGTCAGGATAAACAGTTCACTGAATACAGTTCATCGTTACATCTAAATATACTATAATATGGAATCCTTTACAAAATTGACTTGTAATAACAATTTCCATAATTGTAACAAGTCGCTGGCAAATCGATGATGAGCAATTGTTCTCTCGTCTCTGCTGCAGACAAGCCAGTAGTGGAGGTGAAAATGGACCCGGAAACGCCGGTGAACGAAGCCGACCGTCAGAACGTTTCACTGACGTGCGACGTCGTTAGCGGGAATCCGCCGAGCTTGACCGCCGTCAGATGGTACCTGGACGGCGACCTGCTGAAAGAGCTTCCGGACTGCACTAGGAATAGCAGCGAGGCCACTACGACCACCGAGGAATCTTTAATTTTCTGCGATATCGACCCGAGCAAGCTGCTACTGGAAGCTGTTGGCCGCTCCTTTCACGGGAACTACTCGTGCGAGGGTAGAAACGACGCTGGCTGGGGACCACTTTCACCCAGTGCGCCCGTCACAGTCCATTGTGAGTACCAGACCCTTTTTAATTTTTAATCACACTGCATCACCCTCTTTTATCGCAAAACTATGACTGGTAAAAAAAACGTCCAAAAATCTATTGGAACATTGAACCCTTTACCTCTATAAGGTTCAAGAGAATACAAAAATATGTACACGATTAAAAGTGTTAAAAATTCTTTTCAATTCGAATAAAGGAACAGTACAACAGAATTTCTTCTCTGGTTTGAAACGTTGCTGGTTCGATAGAGAACAAATAATTCTATAGGAAACTAAAAACACTGCTAAAATCTGGAAAATAATGATGAACAATTGTTCAGTTTATTCAGAGCTTATAATTGTATGTAATGGTTTTGCCTGTCTCGCGGACAGACAAACCCGGACCGGTCTCAATCTCGTACAAGCCGCAGCAGGTAATAAAGAAGCGGCCGTTGTCGATCACGTGCTTCGTCGTGGACCCGGGACGACCGAAGGTCGCCGGGTTCAAATGGTTCCGCGGACTTCATCGGCTACCGGACGAGAACAACGCCACCCTGACCATCGATTCGGTCAATTTAGAGACCGAGGCGAACTTCACTTGCCTGGCTTACAACGAGGCAGGCAACGGCGACCCGGCCACTACGTTTATCGACGTGTCCGGTGAGTTGTAAACTTCCTCGCAAGGAGACACACTTCCTGATTCCCTCTTCGAATAAATTTGCAATACACGCTTCTTGGTATCGCAATCTTCCACAGAATTTAAAGAATATGCCAAAATCAAATTCTAAATACTTAATAAAATTTTCTTTTTTATCATATTTACACATTACAATTGTTAATAAGAAAAATATATTGAAGTAGTTATATACATTTTTATACAAGAATTAACAAACGATTTAATACTTCCAAGTATTTATTACAGAACTGTTTCTGAACACGTCTGACCATAGCCTGACTGTTTCTACTTACGTCCCGTCCCCTGACAATGAAAACGGTTCGCGCTGTGTTTTCATTTCATAAAAAAAATCTCGCATGCAATATAACAAACATATTATCGAGCTAATTTGCATAACAAAAAACGGTGCTACACGCAATATTTAGAATAGCCACAATATCATGTTCGTAATTAGGAAGTCGGCGCACGTGGAAGAACGCAGCGGCAATGCAAATGAAACAGGACGTGTACGAAATAAAAAAGAAAAATAGAGCAACAGATAAACTTGTATAATATGTAAAAGAGTATGCGAATGCTTCCGTAACCGCGGCTTCCGTGCTGTATCTAAATTAACGATTCGTATCTTAAAAATTGTATAAACGCGCACTCTTCTTTTCATTCTGTTTCCTTTTATTTTTACTCCCCTTTTTTATATCCAATTCGTGTGTACAGGTAGAAATATGCGTTTCGCATAACAATAATTCCGCGACATGAAAAATAAAATAGTGTCAGCGTTCCATGAATTTGATAAATTTTAATTATTTTATATGTCTGTAATAGATTGTTCATTCTTATAGACAGTTTAAGAAGAAAGTTATTCAATCTTTATCAGCTTCTGTGACATAAATAGATAAAAATCGAGATGGAGTGTTTTATTTAAAAGCTCATTTAAAAGGATTATTGTAAGAAAACGGTTTTAAGAGGAGATTGCAATACCAAGCACTGACCCAGAATTCCGCAAGCTCTCGGATAATCGAAATAGCAATAGATCCATGTAGAAAGTCTTCAACGAAATTTCCCATTGATCCGGCGTTCGAGCCACGCTTATCTGACCCTCGACAACAATACTCGTCCACCTTCCCGCGGAAGCCCACGGAATTTGAACTTGTTCTTTGGTTTGATGAAACAATAGCGGCGCCGGCGTTTATCAAGAAGCTACTGCCTTATCACGGTTACGTGTACAACTCGGCGAACGTCAGTATCATGTGCTGGGTGGAGTGCGCGCCCATGTGCAATATTTCATGGCTGAAGGACGGCGTGCCGATGGATTTCACCAAAACAAACCGTTACTATCTGTCGAACGTTTATCATCAGCCCGACCTGCGTACAAACGATTTCGAGAGCATTCAGTCGACTCTCGTTTGGAACCTGACCGCCTGGCCCAGTGGGCAACTCGATCGAGTCGAGGACAACGTACAGTTCACCTGCGAAAGTAGCAGCAATGGTATCGGGCCTGGGGTCAAGAGCAGCACTCATTTCCACGTTGAGTGTAAGTTCGATACTTCATTTTTCAATTATTTTTACTGAACAATGAATTCTAAGAGACAGGGTATTGATAAATTCCTCGAATCTGTTGGAATTTGTGTTATTTTATAAAATCATGGAAGTGATTGTTAGACATACATTGTGAAAAGATGGATAATAGATTAATTTGATACTTTACAATATATTTATTAAAAATATACATGAATATAAATTTTTACTGTCTTATGTTACGAATTATATCAATAACAATTCATGCTATTAATCTTGAATTACAAAAATGATATTATTTTTGTTCACAGATCCGCCAGAGAACATGACGATATCTCGGAAGATGATAAACGTAACGGTAGACACGATCCCGGAGATGGTGACCTGCGGCGCCAGGGCACATCCGGAGCCGACGTTCCGTTGGTTTCGCGAGGGTTCCACGGACACGATAATCGAGGGCCGCGTGTTGGATCTAAAGGTCCCAGTGCCACGACGCAGCAACGGGACATACTACTGCGAGGCGGCCAATCGGCACGGCAGCCGGAACATCTCCATGGTCATGAATGTTCAATGTGAGCAAAGAAACATGCTACGTAGCAACGTGTCCAACGTAGATATAATCGTCTCGAGAGACGTTCAAATATTGAGAAGGATTTACGATTCCCTGATCGAATTTTCCATTCTCTTTGCTATTTTCTTTTTAAGCTTCTCTTGCGCTTTGGAGAAACTGCAGTTAACGTTCTTTGGCATGGACAGAATGTACATAGAAAATGTATAGCGTGGAAATAGAATTTTGTATTTAAACAATAATTTTCAGATTAGCAATATGTGTATTTAAAATATGAGAATTAATTGTTGAACAGTTAAACCGGAGTGTCACGTGGAGAGGGAACGGATAAACGGGGAAGATTACGTGGTGTGTTCGGCTGTAGCCAATCCGAAGGAGACGGATTTCGTCTGGTCGTTGAAAAGCGAAAATGACACGCTGGAGCAGAGCGCCGAGACACGAAACGGAAAGAGCTATATACGTCTCGATACGTCGGTGACCAATTTCCGGACGTACGTCTGCATCGCGAACAACAGCATCGGGTACTCCAACCCCTGCGAGCGCGACGTACCAGGTACTCTCTCATATTTCATTGAACTTCCGCTTTTGCGTTCACTCATTGTGCTCGTCGATTATAATTGAAATTAATTGATACACTTTAAACGAAGAGATAGCAATTATTTTGCTTAAATGCTTATCATAATTCCTGTGCGAATGATCGTTTCTTAACGTGCTATGAATTTTAAAGATCGCCCAGTTAAACTTTAGTAAAACATTTTTAACGAATGTACAATTATTTATTGATAAATTGTTGTTTTAGAAACAGGTCAAATTTAAATGATGAAAATGAAATAAGAGTCTTGAAAAGAATGTGGTTTTGGAAACCCACGGCTTAATTAAAAGAAAGATTCTACACTACAAATTGCTTGCGAATTTTTACGTAAAACGGATTCCTTGGTCGGATTAATTTTTCCGCTCACTGTATCCTGTGTGCTACACTGCCTGGCCGTAATTCGCGTGTGAAGGAAAATGTCTGGGAACTGAATTCAAAAGCGTGGGATTAAGAAAGCGAAATAAATGTCCCCTCACCCTTTTAAGGAATACCAGATCTCAAGTTACTTCACCCATTCCTCGCGTTTTCACTGAATCTCTTATGAAATCGTGGAATTTTACGTTCTTAATAAATTCGATATAAAACCAATAAAATTTTATTACGACGTACGGATAGACGCTTCCTTTTCTTACTGAATTATACAATTGGATTTAACTCAGAGGTAGAGACGACGGAGACGAAGTCAGAATAACTGAGAACTTTAGATAATTAGTTAAGGAACTGGAGAAACATTCCACGCTTTACGGATGAATTTTTGAACAATCTTTTACTTTGCATTTTACGCGGCACTATCCTCTCCCGGATCAAGAGTGCATTTCGAAGTTATAAAAAGCGGGGGTTATACTTTCTTGTTGGGCGGCGCCGCGTTACTAAATATTCATACGGAGACGGCTTTAAATTTTTCATAAAAACTCTTCTCTGATAAAACATTACTTGAGTCCTTAAAAGAGTACATAAACGAATCTCAAAGGAAAATGAAACTCGGTAGAAGTAAGTTGCTACTAAGATAGTCAGTAAAGATGATGTACTACAGTGTAAAAATGCATTTGAAATTGACATTTATATAATATATTTATTCGTTGGTATCGGTTCGGTACGTGCATCATTTATCACGTTCGAAGGCTTTCGGAAACCTTTCAACATTGGTTGAATACTTATTATTAACTCCGCATGCGATTGTAGCCGAAACCAGAGCGGGTGTTTAAAATCGGTTTAAATTAAAATTCGTGCTAGTACTTTTGTTAATAATATGTAGATAGTATGTAAATGCAAAATAGGACAAGGATCGGGGCGATGGGGAAGTTATACTTTTATTAGAGTTTATGCAGATACGTGGCGGACATGAATTTTCAACGACTTCGGCAACAAACGAGCTTTGAGAAAGCGGCCGGCTAAATCTAAATGAGCATTTTCCGTGATGCGAGCTCATTTGCATTAACCCCACCATCCTGGCCCTGATGTTCAAACTTTTGAACGACGAAATTGATTTGAAATACGATTTTACCCTTTCGTTTCGAACGTCTTTAAAATAATCAAGCCTAGCAACGAATCGACAGGTGAAACGTGCACAAAATGAAAATTACTATGCGCGATTTGGGTTCAAACAAAAAATGTTACCTGTGCACCAATTGGGTAATGTCAAACTTTATGAAATTCTAATTCTATTTCAAATTAATTAATAAAACAAAGATATGAATGAATTAATTGAAGGAAATTATTCAGAAAGTCATTATATCATCGCCTGTTATCATTTTATTGTTACCATTAAGGACGAGATATACTGTACACATTTTTCCGTAAAACGGTAAAGCGTGATGAGGATCAGTCGTGGAAATAGGCAAGGAGGAAAACTGGTACAATTTATAGTGAACGAAATAATTCAAACTCTCTCCGGTGGGACGTTTACCCTCCGACTTCTGAAGTATTATCATTTCTTCGAAGGAAAATGCAACCTTCCCGTTGGGAGGGTATGAATACCTGAGCGATTAAATGAACGTACGATAAACATTTACAGCAGTGGGTGGTTATTAAAATTTTCATAGAAATGGCGTCGTTGCGAAGCGAGCCCCCACCTCCCGTAATTTACCATATCGAGGAGATACGCGTACCTCTTTTAAGAAGGAAATAGTTCAGTGTCCAGGGATGAATTAGATTAACGCTGTATCAAGGATCTTGTTCAGTTCATCGTTATATTCATATCTCGCTTTTTAATATAAAATCAGAGCAGATGATTCTGAAATGTAAATTCTTTGTTTCTTTTTAGCTCACCATGGACATCGAAGTAAGTTTACTCCTGATTATTAACTTACATTGTATAAAAAATTTATTAAAAAGAATTTAATATTATTCTGTAAAAATCAATTTGAGGATTAC